TGACTAAATACTTTTTTGCCCCACTGTAGGTCCATGTTAGGTCGTTTAAGTGTTTAACTAAACGTGCTGGTCTGGCTTCAAAAAATCCATCCATCTCCATTTCTGAATAAATTCTTTAATCTGTCTTGCATGTATTGGTTATTATTCCCTAACAAAAAAGGGAAAATATTAATTTTACTATACTATCTTGATTCTAGTTAATTTTTAATTTAACTTTCAATAGTTTATGTCCAAAACCGATTATTCCACTTTCAACATTTAAGGTTATAGTTATAAAATCTGTAGTTTTTTTGAGCAGAAGAAGCAATTTTAGAGAAGAAGTTACAAAAGAAAGGTTTTGTGACAGACAGCAATAACAAGTTCTGATAAATTTATACCAGCAATATTGCTGTATATTGTTATGATTGTATCTGAGTGGATTGGAGCCTTACTGACACTTCTGGACCTCATGAAAGAACAAGCTACACAATAACTTATTGTGAAAATACTGCCCGAGTCCACAACAACTTTTGCTCAGCAGTAATAAATACTGTAAAACAACTGAGCTGCTCTGCTCTGCTGAATAAAACCATTTCTACGGTACCCCCCAAAAAATCTTTTCCCCCTGCATTATGTCTCGACATCAGCACATACTGGGGAACATAAATACTAAAATCAGGGGTTTTTTTGGTTTGTAATGAGCCATTCTAGGGGAGTGACTACATACAAGAACTCAAATGGTCTGCATGTTAAAGAAAATTCTAATCAGTTTCCTGTTATTTTTAGTCATTTGATGAACAAAAATGTATTTTGCAAGGAAAATTACAACCCGCTTATAATCTTATTTGTACATTCTGGAGGATTTCTTTTGAGCTCTGGATGAATAATAAAAATCTAATTAAATCTAGCAAAAAAAGTATGCAATTCTGATTTCATTTTTCATATTTGTATTATTTTCAGTATTTGTTTTCCATTTAATCTGACTTGGCTCTCCTTTTCTGCTTGCTTTCTAAGTCTTTGTTCATCCGATTATTTTAATTAAATGTTATTTAAGTCTTTGACTCGACTCTCAAAGCTGTAATCATAAGCTTCGACAGCAGATATGTCAAATGTTTAAATAAGCATGTGTTCTTTGATTATTTTCCTCTGTGGATTTATTATTAAAAACTTGCTAGGATTAAGGTCCCTTTGTGATCCGGGTTCTGATAGGGAGGAATTTTATCACTTCCCATCTAAAGTAAACCACTGTAATGAAGCAATATCTGCTGGCAGTATCGGTCGTAGTCCGCCCAGTTAGTGGTAATAATCCACTCCTTCATGTCTTTCACTTGACCTCTGCTCGTCAGTGTCACGAGACAAGGAACAAGCGGTGATATTACGCCACATGAAAGGAGCACAGAGAGGGCATGGGTCTGATTACAAATGGACAGAGAGGCGATCAGCTGTGAGATGAACCATTAACCGCCGTCAGAAATCCTCCAGCCTGTGCCTCCCACAGCCCACCGACCTGTGTAGAAGACACTGGTGGCGAGGGGCGCCGCCGTCGTCTGGTCCAGGAACAGCTTCCTCATCACCATCCCGATAGAGTTCCCGGGAAATCTCCTCTCCAGGAAACGCATCCAGAAGAAATTGAAGTTGCCATGGAAACTAAACGCGACCACCGCGACGTTCCGTGTTTGTCTCCACTCGATGGTCTCCCTCCCGGAGAACCACTGGTGGACGAAGTCCCCCCCGGCGAACAGGCAGCCGTACAGTGTCACGTTGGTAACCCACGGAAAGCGACGGGCATGTCTTAAAAACAGCTTTAGCATTATTTTTAGCTGCCGTTACCCCGTGAAGTGAAAATAAAAACCTATTTCAAGTCCTTTTAACCACAAAACGACTGACTGTGATGTGCTAGCTAAACGCGTATACTTTAACAGTCACACACGGGTCTTCACTCTCTCCACATCACAGTATTCACCTACCACCGAGTCTTTACGTTTCTCGTGTAATTTACGCTATAAAAACACAAAATCATAGCTAAGATACTTGCTTGGCAAACACCATACAGCTGTAACCGGCACTGGACTGACAGCCGGCGCAAAGGTAGCTTCCTTCTGCTTAAATTTACTACGCCCCCTTTTTTACGTGAAAAACAGAAGCAGCGTTGAAGGGGCGGGGCTGGAACGTCCAGAGGAATATGTCCGCTTCACCGCGAGGATCTTACCTCAAGTGACGCTTTTATATGGGCAGAAATCTGTGCCATCAGAAACTGAACAACAAGAAGATTTGCAGGAGCAGGAACCTGGTCATGTAGGGATTTCTAGGTTTTAAAATGATAATGGAATGTACTGATTTGCATCTAGAGCACAGACACACACATTTTATCTAATAAAACACATTGACACTTTTTACAAATGGCATTTGAGCAAACTGTTGCAAATTATCAACCAAAAATGTATTTTTCGATCTGAACAATGCGAGCATTCAAAACAGATTTCCTCATTCACATTTATTTCTCAACAAATACAGCATGTTCACAAGTTCCAACAATTTACACTGAATTTATCAAGCACCTTAAAACACAACTGATGAAAAGGCCATGAATGAAATTTTTATCAGGCAAAACTAGTAAAACCGCATTTTCTTTAATTAAAAAACAATCCATAACATCCACACTGCAGAATACCATACACATGTACACATGCAGGTTGTAAAACAAACATATTCTTAGCCAGGTCTGCAAAAGAATACAGTTTATGATAAAATATCTTTTACATGGTAGATGTGTTTTTAGTCAAAAAATAAACTTTAACTATTACACAATGAAGAATTTAATTGTTCATCAAAATACATGATAGAAATTGTTGCTGCACATCGATTTCTTAACTTTTATATGTCTACTGTCTTCTGGCTTTGGGAGAGGAGGTAATCAATCAGAGCTGTGTCACATCTGAAACTGATTCTAACACTTGACTAATACTGGACCCATGATGTGGAAAAGGTCAGCACTTGGACACCTGGTGAAACACTGTAAATGATTTCCTTTAAAAAGGGAAAACAGAGAAGCAGTAGGACCTTATCCTGAACTTGCTGCAGAAAAGCACACTTCGTATGAAGTCCTGAAAGTGAGAAAAACTATTAGAGGCACGAACAAAGACACTGCCTCTACTCATTCCACTGGACCAGCCAGATGAGTCAGGTAAGCAATTCAACAGATACATGTTCAAGTAAAGTAAACTCCATTTTAAGACACAATAAACACAGAACAGAAATCAGGTGAGAGGGTCACAGTGCATCCCACTGAGCTGAGAGACAAAAAAAGTCAGCTACTGGGTTAAGGTTCAGCAAGAAAAGAGTTGGACTCTATGACTGGACAACCCTCTCCCAGTCCCCAGTCTCCGTCCTGTGGTAGAACTGTGGTTGACCCCCTGGAAACAGGCTTTCAGAGTTGGGGTGGTCTAAAAGGAATTGAATAGTGGACTTCATATGCTGGACAAAGTGCGGTGGCTCAGCCCTCGGAGAGGTGGACAGGTACTAAATAAGAGGACGAAATACCAAAGTCATAGTCTGTTTTAAATACTCACAAAAAAAGCTTCTTGTCATTGGTTAACAACCAAAGACAATAACTTCCAATAACGTTACCTTTAAAATTGTGTCGTCATTCTGTGACAACCAGAAGGCAATATCCAGATTCTGAGACCATGTGCACGGGTCGATTTGAAAAAGTCCCCGACTCGAGTCATATATGTTAACCATCTGCAAGGGATGATTATTTTAATTGGTATGTTTCAGTTTTTTGCCAGCAAAAAACAAAAACTAAACATAAAAATAACAACAATTTCAAGATCCCAGATCCGTTATCCATTAAAACACAGACTTGTGAAAACATTTTTAAGTCACTTCAGTAAGTACTGGAAGTCAGAAAAAAAAAAAAATCAGTGATGATGTAATCTGAGGATCTCTTTCAAAATTAACAGACTGATTAAATATGAGGTAGACAACTGAAAATTGTGTATAGCCAAACATGCATTTTTCTCTCAAAAAAAATCTCATCATGTCATGTTTGCAGAGCACCTCTCCTCCCGTGAAGGTCCGTGCTGATCGCAGCTCCTCTGCAGGGCCTTTATGAGGGAAGGAGGCGGGGTAAACGTCCCCTGTTTTAACATCTACACCTGTTCAGAAACAAAGTCACAACATATTAAAGGCTGAATACCACAAAAGCACTGGATCCTGTTCTGTAACGGTATCACTTACCAATTCCATATACTACAGGTCTGTGAGTTCCATTAACAACCACATCGTTCATTTCTACAACAGCGAATCGAAGGCACGATTAGAGCAAAGGTTTTGTTTTGACAGGTGTATCTAAACAGTCTTCAGCAGTTAAAACAAACACCAAAGTTACCTGTGATACAGCATGTTTCCAGATGAATATCCTCCTTCTGTACCTGGAATGCTGCTGTGAAGTGATAAAAAGCCATTTAAGTTATGCTGCTGCGTTACACTGCAGTCCAACATGAAGTAAGTTTGTAAGGTTATACCCAGTATATCAAGGCTGAGGTTATGGGATGTTGTTGAGTCGTCATTGAATCCGCCGACAAGATGGAGCTCAAGTCTGCATATTGGAAAGGAGAGGAGAAATGTAAATTAATGAATTAATTAGTTGAATAATCTGGAATTTTACTGCTTTTTTTAATGTGTGTGTCATACCTGCCCTCCTTACAAGCATCACTCAGTGATGTCACCGCTTTCACGAGGAGTGGTACTTCAGACCAAGTGCTGGAACCGTCACAATGACCTAGGCAAACTGCTCCACTTCCTAAGAAATAATGAAACGTAATTGTTAACCACAAATTCAATATACAGTTTCCTTTTATAATGCCTTAGCACAAATGGTAAAATGGTAAATGGTCTGTATTTGTATAGCGCTTTACTAGTCCCTAAGGACCCCAAAGCGCTTTACACATTCAGTCATCCACCCATTCACACACACTGGTGATGGCAAGCTACATTGTAGCCACAGCTGCCCTGGGGCGCACTGACAGAGGCGAGGCTGCCGGACACTGCCAGACACTGGCGACACTGGCGCCACCGGGCCCTCTGACCACCACCAGTAGGCAACGGGTGAAGTGTCTTGCCCAAGGACACAACAACCGAGACTGTTGGAGCCGGGGCTCGAACCGGCAACCTTCCGATTACAAGACGAACGCCCAACTCTTGAGCCACGATCGCCCCAAATATGGTAAAGGATTTCTCACCAGTGTGCCGCAGCACAACCAAATGGCAGGTTGTGGCATCATCAGATCCAATGACTGAAACGCATTCTGTTAAAAATAAGACAACAAAGCATGTTACTGTTATAGTGCAGTACATGATCTGGAAGACCAAGTAAACATGCTGAAGTGCTGAATTTTATACCAAATAGTCCATAAATAAATAAAAGCAGAGTGACGCTTAGAATAATTCTTGATCCAAAAGCTATTCAGTGGTCAGACTTCATCACACACTATTAAGGTTTCTGTTGTTGGCTGAATGCCTTGTAGAACAACAAGTTTTAACAACAAGCAACCAATCAACATGATGGAGCCAAGAGTTTTCACACTTGAGGTTGAGCAGCAATGGCAAAAAGTAACCCCAACGATTTCTTTACCTAGCTTGATGATGAGGTGGAACTGTCACTGAAAGTAATTCATGAATATAAGGCAGAAAACATAGACTGGGATTTATTCCATATACTGCTACATATTAGAGTGGGTACCAGGCACGTTATCCATCCATCACTTTAACGCTTTGGCAATTAAAGTAAAGTGCAGACACAAGCGGAGTAAAATTACAAAATGTGTGAGAGCTTAGCTGCAAGTCTTCGGCTTCATTTTTGTAACTGATATGACAAAACTGGTAAGTGAAAATGTCTATGTCTTCTTTTTCAGTAGCCTCTGTTTCTGCCTGCCAAAACATAACCCTTGAGTTTTCAAGCTAAAATTGGTTCAACAGCATCTCCACCCATCTCTGTTATGTGGGCCCTAAAAGATCAAAGCTGTGTGAGGGTAAGGTGTAGACATAATAAAAGTCTTATGTATCAGTGTGTATACAGCCTTGCGATGAGGTCATCTGGTTCCAGTATTTTGTTTTACTCACTGTCTGCTGGTGTTGTTGCAGCAAACTCCCTCTGATGGACATACAGGAGGCACTTTGGATCAACATCAACAAGTGGCTTAGACCGAAATGCTTTTGCCTTTTCCTGTGACATGAAAGCAAAATAGTTAAATGGTTCAAAGTGATAAAACAAAGAAAACAACACAAACTGATTTAGTATTTGACTCGGATATTTTTTCTGATCCTGACTCGTAAAGCTGGATCAATTATTGGGGACGACGGGATGCGGGCCAGCAGGTTTACAGGGGGTTACTAGTAGTTATGTTCGGTGAAACTTTAGTTGGGTAGTTTTATTGCACTTCCTGCAACAATTTGCAATTTTCAGCAACTTAATATTATTTCACTTTTCCCCTCACTGTCTGCTCCACTCTCACAGTATGACTGAGAGACACAATAGTGTGACCATAAACAAAAGCAAGGTGCAGTGAAGACTCTCTCACTGAGCTGAAATGAGACCAGTGCAATAAACGAAGTGAATAATTTTTTAATTATTATTTTTCATTTATCTTGTTATTTTATTTATCTTTCAACTTCCCCTTACCAAAAACAAAAACAAAAAACAACTAACTAATAACATACAGTTAAAGAAGATTTGAAGACTAGATTACCAAAATAAAGGAACAAAGCTAGAAGGCTAGAATGAATCTTATTCTGAGCTAAGCACAGGTATCCTACCGATCTCGAGGATTTGTGATGGAATTCAGATTTGGCAAAGCGACATTTATGTGTAAAGTATTTGTTTATGTGGATGTTACTGTTATTGAGGGTTTGAATCTTTTTCATGTTCGTTATTAGTCCATACTGGATATCTATAGCTATAAACGGAATCTATATTTAAGGTACCTGAAACGTAGTCGTAGTGCAGTTCTATAAATCATTCCTGTGTAACTTATTAGGTTTGGTTTTTTGCTTCATGCACAGATTTACAACCACTGACACTTACTTGGTTACTTTAGAGACAGTTAAATCTGTTATGTTAGTAAATTATCAACAGCGATTTTGTTAGCATAACAATATACAGACAATTCCTATTAAATGAAAAGGATGAGCTAACTATAGCAGCCACACTTTTGCAAAAACAAACC